ACGGTGCTACGAACGGTGCTCGTTCGTTCATTCGTTCGTTCGTTTCCACGGGAAAGACACGTATTTACGACGAAACAACCCTGTCGAGCCTCTCCTTGTCGTTTTTATCCGGTCATTATTTCTACGCCGGCGGATTATTTTTCCTTCTTCAAAAAGAAACAAAAAGAAAAAAAAAAAAGAAAAAAAAAGAAAGAAAGAAAAAAAAAAGAAAAAGGAGAAGGAGGAAAAATATTTGCAGTTCCATTACGTCAATTACGTCGTTCGTTATCGATTCAGACCGCTCGTTGATTAAAATTTGAAAGAAAATAAAAAGAAAAAAAGAAAAAGAGAAGATTAAAAGAACAATAAGACACTGTTGGCCTATCTTTTCGCACGATAACAGAATTATTGAATAATTAACAATAAAAGAAAAAAAAAAGAAAAAAAAAAAGAATTAAAAAAAGCGAACGACAGAAACGATTAAGGCCAATTAATTCTGTTGTTTATATTGGTATATAAGTATTTTCATTGATGATGAAAATCAACGAGAAATACTTTCGTTCATTAATCACGATAAACAAGGGTATTCTGTTTGTAGGATCGATTACATGTTAGATTGCTCTTCGCAGTGTGTAATAAACTTAAACGTTAGGTAGGCCATATGTTATTATTGTCATCGTAAGTGAGATATTAAAGTTTGTATTAAAGGGTAGCGAGCAAGCACGCGTCTACAAAAGTATACTTTATCCATTTTCTTGTAGTTGCAGCACGTACGAATAAACGAGTACGAACGTGGCTCTCGTTTTCTGAAACGGAAACTACTTACTTCGATTGTACCTGCTGAAAACGACTCGTCGTTTCATCGAACTCTCCGTAGAGCGATATTTCAATGTCCACGGGATTATTTTCATTCTCAAAACTAGCATAGATCTAGCCGACGTTAATAATTATCCTTGATTAATTTTTTTTTTCTTTCTTTCTTATCGAAAAATTATATTAACATTTTATTAATCGATTTGATTGTATATCAATAAAATAAAAAGTTTATATTTCTTATCGAAATGAAACTTTTCAATTTGTTTTCTTTAAAATTATTAGAATATTAATTTATTATGTAATATTTTAAAAATGAACCCTTTATTTCCGAAACAAAAATAATCGTATTAGTAATTCTTCATTTTTGTCGGAAACCAAAACTCGTTAGAAGTCATATACAATTCAGATCATTTTCCGTACAAGTTCGAGAAAGAGATTCGAAGAAGTTCCGTTATAATTTCATAAGCTATAGTAGCATCTACCTGGTAAAGTCTAGGGTGTCGCACGGTCGAAAGGGTATTTCGAAGTTTTAGAAGGCCAGAGAAGAGCGGGTCAGTGTCATTAATCATTTTCATGCCGCTTCATAGACGCATGCATTATTCAAAAGCGTTTTCGCGCGAGCTATGCATAACTTTTGTCCATGTTCGTGAAAGATACATTCGTCAAATACTTTTCCGATCTATGAGAGCAAAATCTGCGAAGAGAAAACATCGATTAGATTTAATAATAAATTCTTTCTCTCTCTCTCTCTCTCACTATCTCTCTTACGAATATGAATTACGTCAATTCTTTCTTCAGTCGTAATCTATTTTATATTTTTTTTTTTTTTTTTTCATATAAAATAATAATTATATTTTTGAAATTTTTATACACGATTCTTACGAATGTTCTAAATGACTTATTCGATATTGAAAGACAGTAATAAAGTGAAAAATTTCGGTGAACAACTATGAAATAAAATATGAAGATCATCCATCGCTTTCAAAAGGTCCGTAAAATCTTGTAAAAGCGAATGCAACATCCATCTAAGAGATCCGTGAGCGCTTGTTTGGGTGTGATGTACATGTGGAAAGTATACACGTAGATGTACTTATCACTCCTGGGATGGTGCAAGGCCACTCGACCGGCACGTAGGTATCTTGGATTCTTCAGACGTATCTACCTACATATATATATATATATATACACACACACATACCTTAATCATTCAAATGCATACAAATACTTACTATTACAAATACTTACTATATATGTATTCATGCTTGGATATTTTATATTATACAAATAGTATGAGTCTCACTTACTTTTCCTTCCTCGACGAGCCTGGAAGTTTCTATTTTATTCTTTTTTTTTTTCCACCTTCAACTTTCTCTCCCCTTCTCTTCGAGTATAATTCTCATCTTTCTCTCTCTCTCTCTCTTTCTCTCTCTCTTTGTGTATGTATGTGTGTTTGTCTTTTTTACAATTTTTTTTGCGTGGCTCGTTTTCAAAATGAAAATACAGTTTTCCTAGCGCGCCAGTACAATTAGTTAATTTTGACTATTTCTCCGACTTTGTCCAACTTTTTCGCAAATATCTCGCTTTCACGTTGCTCGTTAGTCTCACAATCAGCGAATCTGTAATCGAGTAGAAAAGACGACGGGGAATGCAAGCTCTTGAAGTTTCCTATTCCATTTTTTATTTGTTCTCTTTTTCTTTTCTAATATCCTCTTTCTCGTCCGACCGACTTTGTTTTCCATTTTGTTTTCTTAATACACAATTTATGCGATGTCCTGTCCGTATCTGTCTACTTTATTGTAGTTTCATTCTATTGAAAGACGAATATATCGATTCGGCTATCATTCATTACATGGGTTTGTATACTAAATTGAATAAAAAAAAAGGAAAGAAGAAAAATAGAAAAATAAAAAAAACAAGAATGCAAAGAAAAAAGTAAATAGGTAAGAAGAAACTTAAACTATGCACGCGACTGAGTCTATAGCCTGAGGATACTAATAAAGGTTCATTCCTATCTGAAAAGAAAAAGTCATCCTCGTATAAGTGAAATTTAAATGTTACTGAAAGTTATACGTCTTTTTAAAAAGATTTGAAACTTTAAAAAGAAACTTGTCATTGGTATTGTTTTAATGTAATTAAAAAATTTTTTAATTATATTAAAAAACAAAACATATATATGTATATATATATAGAACGATAAAAATATATGTATCTCAATATGTACATACATGGCAAATAATCATTGCTAATTTTTTATATTCACATTGATTTTAACATTATTGAATGTTACGCTTGTTTATCGACGATTATTGTTATTGGATTTTTAAGGTTTATATACATTGGCAAGGATATTGTGGTCTATAGTCTCCAACAACAGAAACGAGTTAAACGGTGGTCAAAGTTCGTCGTTCCGTAAATTCCGCTTCTATTGGCAGTAGTACAACATTGCTTTAAAATGATCGCCTTGAAACTTCTGCGGACAAGATTGGTGGAAGCTTACATACTGCTGCAAGTTCAGTTGTTCACGATTTACACACAACGAAGTCGCCTAGAGATCGTTTTGAGAACACCGGAAAGCGTTGTTTCAAATACCTGAGAATGGCATTCGTGGAAAATCGTCTTTAAGATTGAACGTTATCAGTAGCTAATAACTCTTATCAGTAACCGATCTATTATGGACCGATATGGAAAACGTTCGTTTAATTTATAAAATGAAGAAAACTTTCTTCTTCGTTTTACGAGTAATACAACTTTTACAAATCTTATTTATTGGAGTATTAATTTTTTTTTTGCTACATTTGATTGACATATGATATTGGATACTCGAGAAATTTTAAATCTTGAAGTTTTCTTACTTGCTTAGTCTCTCCCTCTCTCTCTCTCTCTCTCTCTCTCTCCCTATCTATCTATCTATCTATCTATCTTTATCTCTATCTCTATCTTCTTCCTCTACTTGGGAAATCAAAGCAGTACTTTCAAAATCGAATCTCATCGCAGTAAATTCAATGAGTTACAGTACAGTGGTCTTGAACTTCCTTTGATATCTCAACTCGATGTACGAGATAGTTTCTGCTGTTTTCATAAATAAATCTATCCTCAGATGCTATAAATGCGCATACTTGTCTATAAAAGAGAGAAAAGGAAAAGAGAGAGAAAAAGGAAAGAAGAAGGATGGATAGAAAGATTCATTGCTTCAATTTATTATAGAATTGCACGAAAAGAAAGATTCTCTTCGATGTTCGCGTACATTATTCGTTCTTATTCCCTGTGATCGATAAGTTTCAACACATTAATTTTCGTTCTGCTTTTTTTTGAAATAGATAAGAAACGAAATGAGAAGATGACACGTATAAAATCTTATTTAGGTATATCCCGACGAATGCCATTCCTTTTCCGAGTTGAAGTCCTTGATGTATTTTTTATTTCTTTCTTCCTTCATTTCACTATTCTTTTCTGTCCATTTTATTTTTCCTATTTCTTTCCTTTTATATTTCCATCCATCTGCATATGTCTTTCTGACACATCTCTTCCTATTCCTTTCTTGGTGACGAGGTTCGTTTTATCCTCTTTAAATCTTTAATTCGACCAAAGCGAAGCACGTATGTATGTACCATTAACCCAAATAATTTTGAAACACGAGGATCTTGACGTTGAATTTTCCATCTCACCTTTCCTTCCTCTTTCTTTCTTTTTTTTTTCGTTATTTTCTTTTTTTCACAAAAAAAAAAAAAACATAGAACGGCATAACTTCGATTAGTTGGCTTCATGTCGATAAAAAGATATTTGATTTTTAATGGAAAAAAAAAGTCAATTTTTGCGCATTGTATGATCTATGAATTTTTTTTATACGAATCCGAAGATTTCGAAGAATATATAGTATTTTTTTAGAATAAAAATTATTCATTATGTATAAATGATAGCTACTCAAAATAAAGTGGGAATATAGCACATCTCAAATACATAATTAGAAATTATTTTGAAATATGCATAATTAGTATTAATACGTATTAAACGTGCGAGATCTATGATTTATTTTGAAATTGAGACAAAGGGAAATTTAAAATATTCAACGCGATATTACGTGTTTTATCTCTCTAATTCGTTTATATTATAATGAAAATATTATGAACGTTTTTTGAATTACGTATTACAATTTTGATTTACGTATGACAATTATAATAGCAAATCTTTATATTTTATTGTTTCAGAGATGCTTGTCATGACTCTTGGACGCAACTTCGATTGTCACCGGTCTTTGGTTGTATATGTCCAAATAATCACATAAAGAAACGATGCGACAGGATCTTCTCATTGGTCAATCATAATCCTTGCGTCGGTGAGTATAAGAGAAAGCGAGTGTGCCAGACTGTGAGAGTGACTGAGAGTGGGAGAGTGTTGAGATGAGACGTAGCAGATTCGATCGGTAGGTCGAACAGTCCTCTGCATTTGTTCGTCATTGCTTAAACGTACGAGTATTTCCATTTATATTCAATATATAGATATATTAAAAACATTATTAATAATTGATATTATTAATGAACATAAATAAATTGAATTTATTGTTAACTGTATTCTTATAAGATACTCTTACGTTGATGAATCTGTGTTATTGCGTATATTATACTGATAAACAAAGGATCATTATGATTGTTATTAAAACTTTATTCGTTAATGATTGCATTATAAACTAACATTAAAAACATATTATTAATATTTAACGCAATCAATATGATCTTTTATTTACGGTTGTTAAATCGTTTTAAATCCAGTTTATTTTCTTGTACGTTGAATCGAGTGAACATCGTTGCTCGATGAATGAACGAGTATAAAAATGATTATAATAGCACCTTGTGAAAGTCGACTGTTGGTGTTGTAAAGTAAATTGGATGACGAGTTTTTCTTTCGTCACGTTGTTTTACGAGATTACATCTTGTGTCTCTATGTATTTGTATCATGTAAAAATTTCTACTTTTTTTTTTCTCTCTCTTTTTTCTTTTTCTTTAATTTTATTTGATCGATGTATGCGTCGAATCGAAACGCCTTGTCGATCTTGGATTAAAAAGCAAAATGCATTTATGAAATTTATTTAATTGAGAATAATAATATTTAGTCTATAATTTTTTTCAAATTGAGAAGGAAAGAAAAAAGACAAAGAGAGAAAAAGTAGGAGCAAAGCAATTACTTTTAACGATATTGCTGTATTTAGAGCTCGCGAGACGTCGTTATAGCGTTCTTTGGATAAGCTTCTTTTTCCCTAATTAATCGAAAACTTACGCTATTAAAACGTAAATCGGGTTTTCATCGCGTAAACGATTGAGTCTTAATTTCATTACAAAATTCTTTACTCGGAAAGATATTTTTACATTTTCAATAATCTTTAAAAATCCTTTTCAATTTATTAAAAAAAGAAATTCGTTGAAATATTATAATTTTGAACGATCTCTTAGAATGATACCACGTGCATTCAAAATTTTAATATTCGATGCACATATGTAAACGAATGACACGTGGATTTGACATGTTTGCTTATCCAGGATCGACGACGTTTCATATATTTCTGCCTCGCAATGGTAATTTTATTGGCATTGTCAAAACACGAGCGTACGGTTACGCGCGAAAAGCAAAGAAAAAATAAGGGGAAATGAAAACGTAAGTAAGTAAGTTGCAAATATCACACACAAGGGCATGTGTGACCTATGTGCAAATGTTTATTATCTGTGTGCGTGTCTGCGGAACGACTTCGCACTGTGCCGATGAAAAAGCAGCGGCAAAGCAGCTTAAACGTCGCAATATAAATGTTGCATATTTTAGCGAGATCACATTTACGAAGTTTTCAGTGATTACGAAGTAATGAGATTATTGAAGAAAGAAAAAAAAACCAGTAGGATCATTCATCTCTCCGTATAATTTTTTTTTTATAATTATTTTTGTATTAAACTTGATTATCAGATGATCTCAAACCCGCAAAAATAGCCTGTTGTTGTATAGGTATATATATTGTGATTATAGATAGTTAAATTATTTATTTAATTTGAATTTAATGATTATTATCCGCCTTTTATTTTATTTTTTCTTTCAATATGAATTCTTAAAGTATCTCAAATTCTTAAGTAAACGAGGAAAGTAAAAGGTAAGTAAATTTCGGGAGAGCTTTCATTTAAAAATTATTATTTCGAACGTCGGTAATAGAAAAAAAAAAAAAAAAAAAAAAAAAAGGAATGGGAAAGTATAATAGAACATACGATAAACATTATTAATACGCATCGCGATAAGATATATCAATGAGTATTTTAAGATGTAGTAAGAATCGGTATTATTATTTTATTTTATTACAATATCAAACAAATGCGGGTAAAATTCTGAAAAATGCGTTGAAAAAACGAAAGGTATGCGATTCGATTAAATCATTTAAATTTACGTTTCTCAATCTTTACATTTCTTTATATAATCTAAATTATTTCTTTAGAATGGTAACCGTGGCTCAAATCTTTATAAAATACAATTTTTAAAAACCTATTAGAATCATTGTATATTATTTTAATAGATACGACTGTTATGACTTGTAAAAATATTCTACGATAATTCTCTAGAAAACTTTTATAATTTAATCATTTTTCTCGCTTTGTTATTAGATAGCAGCCATCATAGGGCGTCTATCTAATATTTTGGACGTGGACCATAGATTGAAAAACGTTGATTTAAATGCAATATCACCAAAACGCGAGCAGGTATTCGAAAAAAAAAAATGGAAATACAAATAGCGCCGTGAATTTTTTCGTTCAGTGACGTTTTAGAAAATCAACTAATAATAAAAGATCGAGGATATCCGATTCGACGCAAGGAACCAAACGGAACGTGGATCGATCCTGAAAACCCTGGTCTGCACGTGCACCAGCACTTCCTATATACATATATACTTGCTTTCTGTCCGAAGAGTTTGAACTTCGAAATCGTCCGTATTAAATTCAATGATGATGCAAAAAAAAAAAAAAGAAAAAAAACAAGAAAAGAAAAGAAAAGAAAAAAGCCATTCGGACGAATAAGAATAAAATGGAAATTGGCTTTTACGCGTTCATATTTACATTTACAAATTGTTTCATTTATTTTCAAAGCCGCATTGATTTATCAGCTCGGGTTGGTTTTTAATCTTCTACAAATTAATTTCGAAGGTACATTCATATTGAACTATACATATGAAATGTAATTATTAAATTGTACATATATAATTATTAAATGTTTTATCGTAATATTTATACATTTCAAATATTTTCATTTCTTTTTATAAAGCAAAAAAAAAAACAATCATTATTTTTCGATAAAAACGAAACTCTATATATATATATATATATATATATATATATATATATATATATATATTATTTTCATTATTTTTATTATTTTATGTAACAGATGCAAATCCCAATGATTCCCATAGATTTCCGGCGAGAATATGATTTCGAAAATGCAAACGAAGTTTCTCAGGCAGAGTACACGTAGAATGTGCACCGCATGATGTACCTTTGCATGAGAAAGAATGATGAGCGCAAAAAAAAAGCAAAACAAAAAAAAGAAAAAAAAAAAAAAAAAAAAGAAAAATTTCCTATGGATGCAGCAAAGCGTATCTCGTACGTATTTTGAGCCTGCATGTCCGTTCTCTTATTTCTCTCTGTAACGTGCCTGTTAAATAGATGAACGTCTATTTCAACTATCTACTCTCTATACTCGACTCGACCTTTCATATCTTATCCTTTAAGACTACTCATTTTCCTTTCTTATACATACTATGATCGATCGATATATCGAATATTAAAAAGAAAAAAAGAAAAAAGAAAAAAAAGAAAAAGAAAAAAACAGCATGTAAACTTTCAAAATGATTCCTTTTCGTCATCCTATTAAATATTCCACTTAACTTTTCGAACGAGAAAGAATAAAAATAATTTATAATAGAATTTGATCGATTTTGAAACGTGCTCTCTGTAATCGATTTTTGCAAATGTAAACGACGTCATTCCTATTAACAATTAGAGGCCAAGAATCCTTGGAGCAGTAATCCCGAGAGCAGTACGAATCAGGCAGTATCACTACCACTATCACTATCACCACTGTCACGACCAACAGAAGCAACATACTACTCGCATACCTATATATAACACATCACGACGCAAACCCGTCCGTGCACGTTTACCGATGCGATCACGCACCCACTCACCCCGTTCTCGTCCGCGTCTCTGCTTTTGTGTTACAGAGTATCTGCCCTCCTCCGCCTCGGTAGACCTATCGGGTACGGACTCGGCCCTCTATCCATTCGACCCGCAGCAGGAGAGCTACCAGGAGATCTGGTTACCGCCGACCAGTATGTATCCCTATTTTCTGTTCCCCGGGACCGCGCGCACCTCGTACCACGACTACGAAATACCGTACGAAGGACAAGAACAGGGACATCGCCGTCAGCACGGCCATCGTCATCAGCCCGGTCGCCATCAGGAGGCACCGGAAAAGCCAGCCAAGCCCAGCGTGTTCGTCGTCGACGCGAACGATCCACGGAGGAACGATTTAAACAAGGCTGATCCTCGTAACGAGGATCGTTTCGTCGTGACCGACGACGAACACTCGTCGGCTGGTCGGTTCCATCTTCCAGGTTCAAGGTTCGGCAACCGGAGGCAGGAGGGTGCCCGGGGAGATGGGATCTTTCAAGATTTTGATGGCTCCTCTTCATCCTCCAACATCCATTCCTATTCTTCTTACCCTTCATCCTCGTCCTCTTCTTCTTCTTCTTCTTCTTCTTCTTCTTCTTCTTCATCATCTTTGTCTTCTTCTTCTTCTTCTTCTTCTTCTTCTTCTTCTTCTTCTTCTTCTTCTGACGCGTTTTCCAAGCATGATCGTGCCTCCAACACAGTGCACCTGCAGCCAAGGCACCCCCACCAAAGCGAGCATGACGCGCACCTGCACCATCACCATCATCACCAGCACCAACAGCACCACCACAACCACAACCAGCACCACTACTACCACCATCACCCTGCACCTGCACCGTCCCCGTCGTCTTCTTCGTCGTCTTCGTCTTCCTCGTCGTCATCGTCGTCTTCGTCAGCATCCTCGTCCTCGTCATCGTTGTCGTCGTCGAACGCGCAACCACCGCGACCGACGCCTACCGTCGACGAAACTAAACGAATCGAGACACCGCAAGTCGCGCCACCAAAGAAATTCGCACCGAGGCCAACCTACGAGCATCGGGCGATCTTCGATCGCGTCGACGACGACCTCGATGACATCGAGTTCAGGATCGGCGCTCTGCCAGTCGATCGGCTCTTCGATCTGCGCGAGGCTTTCGAAGGCTTCGTCGATCAAGGTTCGTACACGCCCATCACACGCGACAGAGAGATCGCTGACGATCTTTGTTTTGCTGCTGCAACATCGAGGGATCATCGCCCTCTCTTCTTCTTCTTCTTCCTCTTCTTCTTCTTCTTCTTCTTCTTCTACTACTTCTTCTTCTTATTCTTCTTCTTCTTCTTCTTCTTCTTCTTCTCATTCAATATTTATTTCGTACTTTCTTTTTTTTTTTACTTTCTTTTCTTCTTCATCGGAGCCGCCACTTCGATCTCTAACAAAAAAAAAAAAAAAAAAAAAAAAAAGAAGAAAAAAAAACGAATTGATCGTAGAGACGCCGAGTAAAGATCGTTTTAAATTACGTTATTTACGTTCTCCAGGTGAAATTTCATCCGTCGCGCGGTTGAATTCAACGGTGATACCACTGGCCGAAAGAAGAACGGCCCGCCTCTCCTGGCACTTCGACTATTCGCGGCACGAATTTATGTTATTGGTACACGGCCAACTCGGAATTTATATATGGCACGCGTGAGACATTCGTACGAAAGTAAAGTTTAATCGTGCTTTAGTAATCAAGTTAAAAGAACGAAAAAAGTATAAAAAGGACGATTATCTTTTCGTTACGTGCTTGAGTTATTGTACTTGATCTTCCCTTTTACTTTTTTTTATATACCTATCCCACTTTATTTCATACAGGATAATTTTATTCAATCGTACGATAAACGAAGACGTGCACATATTATTGTATGAATCTTGAATAATTCATCGCGATACCATCGCTACGGAGGGAGAAAAATTCCCTTTTGATTAAGCGAAATCTGCGAGAAAGATAGAGAGAGAGAGAGAGAGAGAGAGAGAGAGAGAGAAAGAGAGAGAGAAAGAGAGAGAGAGAGAGTCAAGAAGAGATAAAACTTTTTTTTTTTTCGTCCAAAGAATCTTAATAACGTTCCGAGATTTTGCGGTGAAACGAACGAGACGATCCACCGTGCTCCGATACACTTGTTCATTTACAGTGAAGGTCATCTCTCATCCGGACAACTCTACGAGCTTCGAGGTAATCGAGTCTCAAGTGGAGAATCCATTGATTGATGCCGATCATCAAGATCTTCTAGCGATGAAACAGATACCTGTACCTGGTGATCATCATCGACGATCTCATCGAAAGAAGAATCAGACTGTGGAAGAACTCGATCGTAAGTACCTTTTTGTTTCTACTTGTTAAATTGATTAAAGGATTTATTAGATCCGTTTATTTTTAATTGACTTAATTTTTCAATTCAATTAAGAATTATTGTCGACGATATTGTCGATAAATTTCAAATAAATGTTTTTACTCGATAATTCTCGAAAGAAATAAAAAAAAAAAAAAATAAAAAAAAAATAAAAAAAGAAGAAGAAGAAAAATCGATAATACCTATTTTATAATATCGTACGATATTATCTATTCGTACCGAGTGAGATTTATCGTAGTAAAAGTTTAATTTAATTTAGAATCCGTGAGCCGTCTCATTTCCTGGGCCTTCGCTTCCAACCCCCCGCCCACACCCACCCCACGCATCAAGGTATATCTCTGTAGGTCCGCATATTATTTCTCGAGTTGCCGGATTTCGAACTTTAATCCGCCATCGCAACGAGAACCGGCCAAGTTTTCGTCTAAGATTCCGATAGGCGCTCGAATCGAGACAGTGCGAATCTATGCGAAAGTCGTTATCAAAGAGATACGCTGTAAAATAGCTATGCATATATAGATATAGATATCTACATACATCCGGCTGTTGTAGTTTTTAGACTTTACAGAAACTAATTTGCTTAAAGTACCATCAGTTTTTGACGGTGACGATCGTCTCGCGAGCAGATACTTCCTTTCTCAACTATAATGGTGCTCTTAAACTCAAAACTTTCCGCTTGAGAAAGCGTTCTCGTCCGTGACATTTACTTTAAGAACGAGAGTTTAAAGTGGTCTGCTCACGTTTTTTAACTTCGGAATCTATTACCAGGTGAAACAAGAGATAGGAGGGAGTAAATCACTGGATTAAAGGATAACCAGGGATAATTACTTCGGGCTCGATCCGGATGCAATCAATTTTTGATGCGTTATAGTTTGCATCCTTCCTCACCAACTTACTCTTCTTTTCTCTTCTCTTTTTCCATATATTCTTTATATATCTCTCTCATCCTTTCTCCTTTACTTTTTTCATCAAATACTGTCCTCCACATAGACTGAATTCTTTATTCTCCTCGTTCGCTTCCCCGTTATAATTAATTTTTCATCATGAGATAGATAGGTATATGTATCTAGATAAATGGCTAAGTATATAGGTAGAGTTATATACACTTTTAACGAAAACCTTTGCTAATACGTCTATGTCATTTATCTCTTATTTGACCAGATAAAAAGTAAAGGTAATTTCGGATGGTAAATAAAAATATTCCCTTTTCTTTCTTGTCCTTCTTTTTTTCTACCGTATATAATCTATATATCTACAAATAAGTCTCATACGCATACATTCAGAACAGAAGCACGCATATGGTATATGTTCCAATGCAAAAGAGCGAAATTCTCGGAACACGCGAATTCCGCATTCATATATCCAATTTCGAGAGAAACAGTTCGGTTGAAGTTCCAAGGTCGTTTCGTGGAACGATGAATCTAAATCGTTGCCTCAATATACGTTCCTACGTTTTACGTGCGAAACGAAACATATTTACTTGATAAATAATAGAGGAGTAGAATTTTATCAATCGAAAAAAAATATTTTTAATTCCGCGTAAAGTTGAACTCATTTACGAGTTTCTAAAATTTGTAGAAATTTAAAAAAAGTCTTCTTTATTTTTTTAACATAATTATAGAATTTCATGTGATACTATACATATATATATATATATATATATATATATATATATATATAATAAAATTATGATTTAAACTATTGGAAAGAAATAATTATTTTCTGAAAGTCTTTACAGAACAGAAATGCGCGTATCAATATACCATAATCTTTTCTCTGTCTTATATTAGTAAAACAGGTGAGATTTTATTTTATTGATCAAGAAAAATGTCAAAAAGTAAAAAGGGCTAAATTTTACGTTACCTCGAAGTATTTTTTTAATAATCATTTGATAATTTACAATGATAAATAAATACCGAAATAGGACAGTGCCACAATAAAACAAATAATTCTACATATTCATTTTGAAATAATATTCTCTCACTTTTTTTATGATATCAAGCTTTTCATAAGCAACGAACCATGAAATATACGTGTCGCTATACTTTTGCTGGACACGTTATACTTTTGCTGGATAAATTGACGTGTGAGAATAAAACTGTGCGACTCCGTTAAATTCTTCTCTCTTTTTCTATCTCTTTCTCTTTTTTGTGTCAACCCTTTTTAATTCATAACATTCTCACGAGAACGAACACGGCATAAAATCGTTGCTACTATCGAGAAAACTAAACAAACGGGTCACCGTAATTATAATTCATACACACGTGCCTAACTCGCGATATTCAATGATCGTACGTATGCATGCGTTACTTATATGCATTTATGTACATATATATATATATATATATATATATATATTATATATGTATATATATATGATATATATCATGCATTTCATGCATTCATTCCTAGCAATGTACGTTAGATTTGCACCACATCAAAAATATAGCGTCCTATCGATTTCAAATACATACGCATAGAAACGTAAACTTATATATATATATATATATATATATATATATATATATATATACGTTTATGTGTATGCATATATACATATATATGTATATATACATTTATCTACATATGTAAAGTAAAATCTAACCGCAAACTCGAACGGCAGTGGTTCCAACGCATTACTCTCTCTCTCTCTTTCTCTCTTTCTCTCTCTCTCTCTCTTTCTCTCGAAATATATACATACGCTTCATATGTTGTTTACTTTTTTCTCAATTAGTTTAGTAGACCGATCGATCGACCACGAGGTCGGTTTCGAGTATATTAGTAAGTTAAGAGTAACCACAAATACCCGCTTTTTTCATCCAACGGTATATGTACCGTTCTTGAGAGTTTACGTCTCTTTTTTTATTTTTTTTTAATTTTTTTTTTTTTACAATAAAAAGAAAGAAAACGGGCGGAGATCGGTCGATATTTTGTAGTTTCCGGAATTCATTGATTACACTTCATAGAAACAGATCCGGTGTATGATACAATGTTTATTTTCATATCTTTTATCGTCTTATTCCAGGAAAAAGAAATTAGGTTTAGTGTTAAAAGAAATGTGTATGTGTGTGTGTGTGAGAGAGAGAGAGAGAGAGAGAGAGAGAGAGAGAGAGAGAGAGAGAGGTAGAGAGACAAGGATATGTAGTTCTATATCACTCTTAGGCCTAGAATAAACAAAACAAGCGAGCGTTCTATTATCATTGAAGGATATCTAAGGAATAATAGAATAAGTTCTGTATATGTCTACAAAACAAAACGGTCGAGGATGAGTTAGTTTAAAACGAACGATCGAAGACGAAAGACGTAATTTAGGACGACGTTTAGAGACGATTATTTTATTAAAAAAGATAAGATACGTTTTATTTCTCAATTTAATTTGATATCTAAGATAATTATAATATCTTGTTATATTCTGTTTTTATTCTAATATTAATAAAAAATGAAAGAAAAGAATGTACGATATAATGAAATGAAGGTTTTTGAATATTTAATTATATAGAAATATATATATATTTTTTTGTATATATATATATATATATATATATATATATATATATATATATACAAAGAAACAAAGGAACAATAAACGAAAGATGGATATAAAGGATATCCTACGGGTCGTTTAATTTTATACGAAAAGCTTTATTCCCTCTCAATGCTAACAGTAATTAATTGCTCTCATTCAAACTATTCGAATTAATTTTACTTTTCTATTCAAAATTCTAGGTAGAAATACCTACTTGAACTATTTTTGATCTCCTATCCGTACGCGTTTCCTAACGCTTTAGAAAGTTATCCGTCCATTTATCGACGCTTTTCCACCATTCGAATTATTTTCGTAAGCCCATTCTTTCTCTCTTTCTCTCTCTCTCTCTCTCTCTCTCTATATATATATATATATATATATATATATATATATATATATATATACATACATACATATATATGAGGGTGCTTTCACATGGATGTGCACGCGAGTATTCGGAAAACTATATGTATGTGTCTACTCAAAATGATGATTTCGTTCGAAAATTTCTATGAATTTTGACATATAATAGCTTCTACTTCTATCGTACACCTGCGTCACACGAAAAGCTTCCGTTTTCTATCTGTTATTATGGAGGATGAGCAATACATTTTGATATCAAAAAAAGAAAGAAAAAAAGTTAATTCAATCTCATAAGAAATTGTATGAACAAATTTAACGTTTGTTATTAGAGAAATTTACTCATTTATTTATTTCAAAAAGAAAATTAATTGAAATTATATATGTAATCCAATTTATAATATTTTTATTGCTATATATCGATATTTGTAAATATTAATCCATGGTAGATTTCTAATCCTTTTCTAATTACTTAGATCCATCTTTTTTCTTTTATCTTTTCTGTTTCCTTTTATATATATATAAAAACCTATTTTATTTGACTATAACAGATCGCTGGCCCATTTCGTATAGAAGAAGTTCAACATATATTTCGGACAGTAAAATCGATCTCTCTCTCTCTCTCTTTCTTTCTTTTTCTCTCTCTCTTTCTTTCTCTCCCGTTTGCCCCTTCTACTTCTTTCTCTCTTTCCCAAAGTCTCTCTCGGACACGAGTTCCAATTACCGCCAATCGGAATTGCCTCTGTTTCTACCGCGCAACACGAAGAATCTTACGTAGCACGTCTGAAAGCGGACTTACAGGATTGATATTCCTTGGTTACCTGGCCGAGATAGTCCTGATCTACGGCACGTCCTTCGGGATTCAAGACGATATAGTTCGTTAGAGAATTGCCTTTCCTCTATCGATTCACCTACTGTTATCGTGTTCGACGATGCACCTAATGATCAGTTCAACTTCTATTCTTTTCATCATTTTCTCATCGTCATTTTCTCTTGAAAGTTTAACATTTTAGATATGTACAAAATAAAACAGGATAGCAAGAATTATTAAATTTTACATTGAAATAATGAGAAAGAGGGAGAGAGAGAGAGAGAGAGAGAGAGAGAATCGAAAGTCAATTCATTGACTGAATCCCCTCCTTGTCGAAATCTTCCTGTCTTCTCCGAACTAACTTTTCTCCATTGATATTCCTGTAGTTTTCCACCAAGTGGTTAGTCTTTTCTCCCCCTTCCCCTTCTTTCACTTTCTCTCTCTCTCTCTCTCTCTCTCTCTCTCTCTGTCTGTCTCTTTCGCTCTACTTCTCTCTATTACTTTTTCCGTTACTACTAGGAGGGATCGGCCAAAAGTAGTACAGTCGTTTAAAGGGTCGTACCCAAACCAATGTAGCCAATGGATGCTTCCGATCATCCCCTCTAAATAGACTCGTCCTGACTCGGATCGAGAAACTTATGGTTCCTCCTCAGAGGACCATCGTCGTCTTCTCGTCGTTGGAGGAGAAGGGTCGAAGAGCCTCTCTTCCTCAGGCAACATAAAACGAATCCCTTCTCAAATCACTTCTAGAAGAAGACAGAATAGACAAGAGAAAGAAAGAGACGAAATGAGATCTCGATTCTACGAAGAATCTCGATTCACCTTCTCCTTAGTCCTTAAAGTCTACCAACCCTTGACGATTAATTTTACCGCGGTAGCAGCTTCTAGGAATGCCCTTTTGACGATTCTACTTTGAATTTCATCGGTGAGTGCCTCTCGAAAGGCTCGATGATACGAACGAAAAAATATATATCTACCATCCAACTTTGTCTCATTCAACTTTGTCTCTAGATGAGAAAGTAAATCCCTGTTTCGTTTTCTTTTATCTTTTCTTTTTTTTTTTTTTCTTTTTCTTTTGTGGAAAAACCAACACTCTGTCTCATAAAAGTCGAATATAAAATATCGAACTTACTGCGAGATGAATCAGCCTGCGATCATCGTTACGACCCTCTTTGATTCGTTTTCGGGAATGGGAAGAGGATTACATTTTTGTAGGCGTTTAAGGGAAGACGAATGAATGGGCAGACACAGACAGCTCGAAGCGAACGAACGTTAGCTCTCTCGACGATTAAGGCGGTTGAAAGAGTGCGAGAGGCCCGAAAGGATGATGGCTGCTCGTTTGTCTTAATAAACTGCGTCGAATCCACGCTCGCCATGGTGCTTGACTTATGGCCAGTCATCTGGTAGGGCGGCTCTACTCATGAGAAATCTTTGCTCTCTCTCTCTCCCCCTCTCTTTCTCTCTCTCTTTCTATCTCTCTCTCTTAGCATCGTTAGTCCTTGGAATATTCAGAAAGGTTCGACTAGTCATTAACCCCTCTTCGATTCATCGATCGAACGAAAAGGTTCTTCGTTAACGATATATAACATTTGTCATTGTGACAAGTCAAGAGTTTTTACGATAATTTTTTATCGAGCTTGACCTTTATCATCGAATATTTGACAAACAATGTATCTTCCAACAAGGATATCGATCTTTTTCCAAAAATTTCATTACCTCTCATATATAAATACCAAGATTGTATTAATGTGATTTTCTAATTAAAAAAAAAAGAAAAAAAAAGAAAAAAATAAATAAAAATAAAAAAATAAGATACTTCAGATATTCTTGTAAAACTTGAAATAGAATTGAATAGTTTGGAAGGAAAAAGAGAGAGAGAGAGAGAGAGAGAGAGATCGGTCGAATGGATAAACATCGTACGATATTGCTCGAAGCCCAGAAAGACGTCAGGTTAAACCATTTTTCTCTGGACTTGCTTATGGTTCGCTACTTAGGCAACATGCGAGGTCACCACGTCACGCCGGTGCTCGTTGACGATTTATCATTTATTTGTATACGCGAGTTGGGAAACTAGGTCTCTCGCCTCGCTTATGTAAACGGTAGGAGCGCACGTACGGGTATAGTTCATCCTGGAATGTTTAACTTAGCCGATAGCAATCTTCGTTGGGGTTGGTGAGCGAGAAAAAATGTAGTAACAGATGAATATAGAGAAAAACTAGTGGGTCGGAAGGGTGAATGAGGGGTGACAGGATGAAACAAGCCCAAGTACGATAAAGCTTTCTGTCTTATAAAATTACTTTCCGTAGAAGAGACATCATTCAACTAATTTTTTTTTTGCCTCCCCCTTGAAAGTACAAAGACATTGCAAAGTATCTGACATCGTATTAAGATTTTGTTTCAAACTTCGAAATTAATTAAATCTGAAGAGATTTTCAATCGATCAACGATGAATTTATGAAATCTATTTTGATTACAAATAAAATTTCAAGAATGAAGACAGAGATGTCTTGTAAATTAATGAATCGTAAGAAAAGGGATCGAAAGATATAATGCTTTTCTAACGGGAATAAAAACGAGATGATTTATTTATTCTTTAATCATGAAGAAAAAGTTAAGATCTTCGTGACGAATTTATTCTCCCTTCTTAACTAACAATTTAATTAATATCCAATCATTTATTACTCAGATTAAATAAATCCATATGCATGAATAATAATTGTTCGAAATTAATTATCGTACTATTTGGAATCATTGATCGAATGAAATGAAATAAAAAGAAAAAAGAAAAAAAAAAGAAAAAGTAATCATTTAAATTTTATCTTTATTTATAGAAGCTGCAGCTCTACCATCTGCTAAATCGGAAATTGACAAGATTCAGCAACCACCTAAGTTGATACTTTCCAGTACATGTCATCATGCATACACATCGTGCAAGTAAGCTTTAATCTCATTTCACATTTACGCTGTAATCACACGATAAGCGGTAAATCTCAAATGGTCCATTATTAAAAGCAAAACTGAAGCGGTAGCTTATTAATAATATTGTACATTGATGTACACCAGAGAGAGAGAGAAAGAGAGAGAGAGAGAGAGAGAGAGAGAGAGAGAGAGAAAGAGAGACTTGAAGAAACAAGGACTAAAAGCAACAACGTAGTCGTACTAGAATAGAATCATCATTTTATCATGAGTCTAGACGAGATTTATCGCGCTTAGTTGCATTCAAAGGCGTTAACTACAGTATCGTTTATTCAGGAACGACCCGGAGTGCAAGGCATTATTACAGCCGGTCCTGAATTACTGTGGTTTGACGAGCTGCGCGAGAAACGAATGTATGGCAGCTCTACAACACTTCTATAAAACGGCTAATCACAAGCACTCCATCGAAATAGCTTTCTGTTTGTGCCGGTAAGTATAAATTGATTTATACGATACCAAATATAAACATTAATTTGTATAAGTCTTTATTTTATATTTTCGAAAATAATCATCTTCTATATCTCATAAATTTCATTAAAAAAAAAAAAAAAAAAAAAAGAATGAATTAAAGTAAACTAAAAAGTTAACATGGTTATTCTATTATAGATATACAATTACTGTTTCTCCTATTCTATTTATTTTATTGTTGATATCGATCATTTATATATTCAAACCTATACATATTTAAATGTAATAGGAAGAACAAACAATACTAGTCGAGGCACGATCGAGCGATGATATATCTCCTAGACGAATGCAACATGTTGATAGAACGTCAACGACAGCCGCGACAACGTACGTACAATAATGTACGTGTGAAACCCACTATGAATTAGACGCAACGTGCGAGTACTCGATGCAAAAATTTCCATAATGTTCACTGTATGTTTCTATACGAGTACGATCGAACGAGTATAGCGTTACAACGAACCGATTCATAGGACAAAACGCAAACTAGTTCGATTTCAGGAATCGTGCACCGTGCTCAATCAGGAGCCAATCAAAAGCATCCGGCTTACGATTCTCCATCGCGTCGATATCATCGTACGTTGTTACACACGTCAATCAATCCGCAGAGAGATAGATATAACAGAATCAACGATAGCGTAGATTACGTCACGAATGAAAAGTATAAATGAATTGATGGTCATCGCTATCTTCGACCATTTTGAAAATAACTTTCCTTTCGATTTACACGACGTATGATATCTATATTAAAGTGTCATCAAAGTTACGATATCATTTTGAGTAACGAGCTTTTACGAACTTGTATGAAGGTTGTATTTTATTCATGAAGACATTCAAGGCGAAGTAAATTGCCAGGTATAAATCTGTTCTAAGTACTTAAGAAGTGATATACTATAGCGAAGCGTTAATATTCTTCATTCGTAAGCTGGCGTTCTTAGCATAAGGTTTGTTTTGCAAATCGTGCAACAGGTTGCTTTCTAAACTTCTATAAACGTCACGTATCATAACGGAGAATTCCGGACGAAAGAGATCACGAAAGGAATCCTGAACATCTTCCTTCTAGATATAGATCGCAATCAGCGAATGATTATTATTTCATAGAAATAAGAGCTTATCATTTTAGAAGAGAACAGAATTTTATCATCATAATCTTCGTACAAACGATATTAAAGTTATTTCTTTTAAAAATGTAGATGTGAAAAGGACAGAGAGAGAGAGAGAGAGAGAGAGATAAGAAATTTATCCCTTCGGCAATCATACCGTGAAGGATCACCGACAATTCGACAAACCGATGCATAACATTTTTATTTAATCATCCTTTCAATTAACGTGATCGCGTTGTACAGGAAGGCTGTATTTTCACGGTTGACGGAACGCTCAATCACTATCCAATCAAATTGCACAGCTTTCGAGCAACGTACTGCATGGTTCAACCCGAACCCGACAACGACGTTGGTGTTCGTTCGTGTCGGTTGATGATCACTGCATGCTACAACGCGATCTATTAAACCTGTGGAATACCGTGGGATGCAGCTAACGTAAAGCCGTGATTATCAATTTTCATTAAAGCTGTTTTACGCATTCGCGGCTTACCCATGATAGAAATTTCATTAAATTTTCTTGCTTCGATCGAATAACAAACGAAAGAGAGAGAGAGAGAGAGAGAGAGAGAGAGAGAGAGGGAAGTTTCGTTTCTATGATAGTTAGATAGGTATAAATTTAAATCCACGTGGATGTCTAGAATGATGACAGGAGAAAATCTTTCATATTAATTTGCTTGCCTAATGCATCCCATCTCTAAAATTTAACGACGTTGCTGGTCGGCTCCAGCTATTATGGAATGCACATTATGAGACATTGGACACATTAGGGCTGTAAATGACGATTACAACACGCCTCTCTGGCTATCTCATTACGAGAGATAATGTACCCTTAATTCATTTGCGTGTTCTAGATTTACCAGCTTGATACTGAACACTTTCGAATATAAAAGAATTTATATTATTTCTCAAGCTTTTGATAGTATACCGCATTTACATTTGTTGGCTTTATTAACTGTACATACTGCTTATTTTGGTATCATAAGGGTAAAAGTTTATGCTTTAATTAAGTTGTCTGTTTTAAGTCACCGACATATCCAACCTAAGCTCCAACTGAATTTACATGGCGCATAAAACGAAAAACAGGGATGAAAGAGAGAGAGAGAGAGAGAGAGAGAGAGAGAGAGAGAGAGAGAGAAGAGAGAGAGAGAAAAGAGAATTGAGTGAATGGCGAGAATGAGTGAGAAAGAGGGAAGCTGTATTTGATGTTCGATACCGAATTCATAAAAGCAGGACAAAAGCGGCCAATTAAAGGTCAATCGAGCTGTCTCCATCGAAATGGTGATATACCTTTCACAATAACCATGTAAACCGATATTAAAGCGTGAACACGTCAGAACTGAGTAATAAAGTTTTTACGGAAAATCGAATGTATGCATATATATATATATATATATATATATATATATATATATATATATGTATCGTACATAAATATATACACATACAACATTAATCAGAATTGTTGTTTCAACAGTGAATATTACACTGTACTATATCAAAAGAGATTGTTTTAAAAATATTCACTTTCGAATTAACTATCAATCTAGAGTTATCTACATTGAATAATTTACGTATGTGCAAGTAATACAAAATAAAAGAAAAAAAAAAAAAAAGGAACATTTTTATTCGTACATATCGCGTATTATATTTTCATTTATAATTTGAATTTACAATTTTTACGGAATGATCTTTGCGTCTCTCGTTCAATACAATTAATCAGGCCTAATAGAGAAAGAGTAAGAAACGTACAATTCGGAAGAATTCCGCATCCGTTAGTAGATCCCATGAGAATGCAGAAAAGGGAAGCTAGATAGAGGCTTATCCTTTCTAACGAGACTTCTATAACTTTTAAGTGGCTTTCACCAGCGAAACAATGCGAAAACTTTCCTTCCTTGTCGTTTTCCACATTTTGTTCTATCTTTTCTATTCTCTCTCTCTCTCTCTCTTTCTCTCTTTCGTCTATTTGATCAGTTTTTTATTTCCACCTGATCTCTACATCCGTTCGTCGAGCCTTCCTTTTGTTCATGCTAATTTATCTCTATTTCCATCTCTTTCCTTATCTGTTTATCATTCTCTCTCATTCTCTCTCTCCCTCTCTCTCTCTCTCTTTTTCACACACATTCATTTTTGCACAAGGACGTGCATCTAATAACCGATTAAATAAGTATTGAATAAGAAAGAAATAAGAAAAAATAGTACGATTTGCCTTGACAAAGCTGAATAAAATATATAGCCAGCTCATTTAATGCTCCTTGAACAATGGCCACCTTGCAATGCCTCTTTGGGAATTTCTCTCGTAAGAATCTCTAGGTATGAGCTCTCGTTTTTTCTGAGGAAGGGGAAGAGACATGAAGGAAGACCAAAGCAGAAGTAGCAGAAGGAGATGAAGAAGAGAAGAGAAAAGAACAAAATGGAAGAAGGAACGATATGCTCTTGTTCTTCCCTTCTTCTGTTTCAAAAGGTGCTTTGTCTTGCGGTAAATTGGCGTGTCTGCACGATTCGTTTCGGATTTACCTCGCGTTATTTTTTACAAAGGTTTCTACACGAGAAACGTTCCAGTATTCCCTTGAAATGGTCTTTGGAGAATCCTTTACGTTTCTCTTTTCGGACATGCAACTTCGGAACATAACACCGTGTGTGAATTATTATCAAACGTATTGCTAAGTCTCATTGCAATGTTAATAAATAATTTTTATTGAGAATTATTTATCGATTCGTTTCATTTTTTATAAAGAAATATCATTCATTAATAATCTTAAAGATATTAGACGTATTATAGGACGAAGGAATTAATTGTTATGTTAAAAGAAAAAAAAAAAACAAAAAAAAAAAAACCAAAAAAAAAGAGAAAGAAAAGATATAATTTATTAATTTACTTTAGATTTATATATAAATTTACGTATGTCGATAACGATATCGGAAGATTGAATATTATCTATAATGTATAATTTTTTTTCTTATTTTATAGAAAAACCGATGGCAGAAAAGACGAATGCATCGTAGCACAAGAAAAGATGCATCCTGCATGTGCTCAACGTATCGAAGGTGCCGATATGCCCACATGTCACAGTCTCGCGGAAACTTGCAAGAAAAACGAAGCCTGCCGGCAAGTATACGTGTTCAATGATCAAGATAATTACGATCATTTTCATTTTTCACTCGAGATTTTTCGATCGTTTTATTTCTTAATAAAAGTTTCATTAATTTTTCGAAATTTCGAACGTTTCTAAATATAAAAATCTATAAAAAATTTACAGGTGATTTCATCGAGATTATTAAAGAAATGTAAAATATAAATGAAAAATATGTACTTTCTCAATATATATCATATAAGATTTATTTTTGATTTATGTAAATATTTAAAATCTAATTCATCGAGTTAATGGCAAATAGATGTGTGTTTTTAATAAATTTAATGTAAAGAAATCAATGAACCATATAAATTATTGGAATTCGTCGTTGCTAAATTAAAGATAAAGAAGTGTATTTTCGATACATAGATATATAGATGTTAAGGGTTTCTGAGACCTACATAAATTTTTTTTCATTTTGTCTAGAATATAGATGTACTATTTGCAAAACTTCCTTCGTTAAAAATCTCTTTCTCTTTTTCCATCTTTTTCCCCGTCTCATACTTCGTAGACGAACAAATATTCACGTTGAAAGCATTTCTTGTGAAATTCAGTGCTTTACTTAGTTACTCGGATCTTTACTACTTGTGTTTGAAAATGCAGCAAAATTACGAATTCTTTCGGTACGTTTGTTTCAAGAGAAAATTGACCTTAACCCTACACTGCATAAAATTTTATATTTTATCCAAAAAAAAAAAAAAAAAAATATTTTCTGAATCCAAAGAAATTACTTTCTAAAATCAGAAAAATAATTATATCTATATGTTTATATATATATATATAATAATAATTGTATATATATATAAAAATGATGATATAATAATAAAGTGTATATGAGTGAATATATTTAGTCAGAATTGAAATGAAATAATTATTATTATAAAAAAAAAAAATTAGATACGTATAGCGATATACTATGAAGTGTAGGTTTAATGGTATAATAAGGAATAAGAATAATTTTTCTTCATTTCTTTTGACATCCTCGAAAATAAAACCTATTACATTTAACTTATTTTTAATCTATCGTCAACGAAGGCATACGGTTTGGTTTTGATCGATCGAATGATTCATTAAGTTTATCGAAACGATTTTTCTCTTTTTCCTTCCGGTCGACATCGAAGTCACTTAAGAAATTTTTGAACCCCTCCTTTTTCTCTAATTACTCAAACGACGAGCTCATTGGGGAAGTATCTTGACGTCCCCCTTTTTAATTCTCTGATTAATGAATCAAGTAGGGTCGCATTTTTCCCTCTTGAAATCGACGAGAATTCTTTCCAATTTTGTCCCTGTGTACTTACTTACAAATCACCGATTCATTGACTGTTAATCATATTTATCTAATCGTTATTTTAATTCTTTCTTTTTTTCCCTTTCTTACGTCTTTTTTTTCAAACATTTAGCATGAGATTGGAGCATTACGAGCAAAATTGTGCGGTAGACAGTGTAACGAAAAAATGTGCTGGACCACCATCCGATTGTAGGAAAGCGATGCTAGGTATACTTGGGACCGAACTTCGTTCAAATTGCGCTTGCAAAGGCACCGACTTCACGCAACTCTACGACTGTCTTGGTTGGCAAAGACTCCTTTGGGTTAACCCGTGTGTAGGTAAGTTAATTAAGTTCTGGAGACACTCTTAGTACTCTACGTTATATATGTACGTTTGCTGAAACCAGAATTTTGAAAGTGATGTATATATATATATATATATATATATATATTATCATAAGGACATATTTACTTTTATAATAAGTTCTTATCTAAGTTGTTAGACGATTTTTCTTTTTTTTTTTTATCTTTTTTCTAACCCTTTTTTAACCTTTACTTTGTTCTATAAATATTGAAAATGTCATTTGTGATTATTTTACTTAAAATATATGAAGTGCATAATTATATTGATCACATTTGTACGATAATGACATTTTGCAAGAGATTTATATTCAGTCGAGAGAACTGGCGTTATTTAAAACGACTTATTGTCTTGATAATACAAATATATTTGTCAATTATTATTGAATATTGTTCTTAATAAAGGGCATTTAAAATCGTTCTAAATTCGATATTAATTATACTCAAATATAATTAATTTATTTCTTTATTCCAAGGATCGAAAAATTTGTTCAATAAATTAATATCAAAGAGAAAAGCTATGTATACTAATGGTAACGATATCAACATTACAACGAAAATTAAATTTCCTTACATCTTAGCTTTTATATTCCGAAAATTTGTCTATTCAAAGAATTAAATTATATTATAAACTTTCTATAAATCTTATTATTTCTTTAATAAATTTTTAATAACTAAACTCAGTTGTCTAATTACGATGTCATATAATATATAATTTATTTCTTAATTTGAATGTATTAATTTTCATTCATATTGATAATACTTTATTCATGTTTTAAGTAAAATGTTTCGAACTAAAATAATCGACTTAATTCGTAAAAGAGATCGATTTGCATCTATTAAAACTATCATTAATATTTTATTGATAAATCAAAAGAAATTCATTTCGTTCCGGAAAAAAAAACAAAAAAAAAAAAAAGAAAAACAAAAAAAAGATATGAAAATATCAACTAAGTTCCATACGACGCTGTTAAGGGACTTGCATAGCTATCGCTTACGGTCAGGTGTCGCGCAATATTTCAGTGTCCAGGGACTCCAAGCTGATTACAATTTCAGGTGGAACCGTGCTACGCCGTCGGTTGCTCCTGCCTACGTTGCTTCATCCTTGCAATGATAGAAATTGCGAAATGAATAATGAAATGTTGCGAATGGTTATATATCATCGCATTCACGTTCGTGTTGTGTAATAATGAGCATGTTTATGAAGAACGTAGTTAGTTGATGGAGGATTAGAAGGATAAACAACGTTAAAGCTTGCTTTCTTATCGAATTTATACAGGATTTTTCAAAAACATGTGATTAAATTTTAAAGAATATATTTTAATTATCGTAAAAATGAACAGCATACATTTGTCATGTTCATAGAAGAATTTTTTATACTTACAATTAATAGAATATGTTCTTAAATTTTCTTCACTTTAATTCGATTCTTCGAAATGTAGCGTTATTAATTTTTATCTCAGAAACATGACATTTCCATGAAAAATTTTTCATATAAGAATTATATTATTTCAATAAGCTCATATATTATATGATATCTATTGGTTTTTATTTAAATCAAACGTCTAAGTAAATAAATAAATTTACAAATTTATGCGAGATATTTTGTTAAATATTTCGAAAAATTGATAATGGGTGGAAAAAAATATTTCAAAAGTTCCTTGCTTTTTCACATAGAATATGTTATCATTATAAAAAAAAAAAAAAAAAAAAAAAAAAAAGGAAAGCGTAGCTTTCGATATTTAAAAAAATAAACTTGATATTGAGATGTCTTCGAAATAAAATAAAAAAAAAGACAATAAATGTCGTAATATTTTTCTTTCGAAATTCGAGAACTCTTGTCTGAACAATTTTTCTAAAAAAAATATCGTGTTTTACGAAAGAAAAATTTGTAAAACTTTATTTTGAATAGCCATTGTAAAGAAAGAAAATGATTGACAAGAATCAATATTAAAGCTTACTATGGGAAAAGTTATATATTTATACAATACAGTGGCTAGCTTATATTTCGATAAATAGGTAAACAAGTCAATAATAAACAAACTCTTGGACCTTTCAGTCGAGTCTCAAAAGGACTACCATGCACGTCGAAAACACCACCACTATCCAAGAACAACGCCGATTGGCAATATTCCGTCGACGACAACAATGACGACGTCGTCGTCAACTACGAGAACACACGTAAGCATGACGGCTACTACGATGGCCACCGCGGTTGAACGAGTTGAAGATAATCAAATACCGGAAGTAACGAGGTGGCCGACCACCGAACCCACGGAAACTTTAGAAATCACGACTAACACCGTTAGTACGACGCCAAGCACAACTACAACGACAACCACACCGCCCCGTGAGTATAGTCTTTTCCGTTCAGCGATCGTTAAAAGCGTTTAAAAAGATGATGAAGAAATATTATATATTAGTTTATAGATAAATGTTGTTTCAAAGAAGAAATTTGAATCGAATGAATTTATAATCATGACTTATTTTATGAATCAATCAAAGAAATAATTAAATTATCTACTAAGTATTCTCGATTTAAAAATGAGACGAAAAAAGAAAAAAAAAGAAAGAGAGCTATTTTTATTATAAGCATAATTTAGTAATTCAGTATACAAAATGCATTTGGTATAAATTTCAATTAATATTTATAGAAATTTATTTCTATTGCATTTTATATCACGTGATAAATATATCGTCCTCGTTTCAGGCTTTTGTGTCGTTCAAAGGCCAAGACAGAGCCATCAGTACATACGAGAGGGTAAAGGCAAAAGGGTGAGTTAATTATTCTCTTCGGCTCATTATATCACAGAAATATGTACTTAACGTAAATTGGATGTACATGAAAGTGTTCTGAACTTTAAGGTTCGTCAAATTAATGCGCTTATCGATTAACAATGTAACACAATGAACGATCTTGTCGGTAGCTTTATCGCGAAGACGAGCCAGAATGTTCGGAGCTCTGTCAATGCGGTGAAGGCGAAGTTCTCATCTGCAATACGATCTGCGTCGATTCATCTCCTTGTAAAACGGACTTCGCTTACTATAACCATGAGGCGCCAGCTTATCAGGCCCACCGTGGTCCATGTCTCTGCTATAGTGGTGGTTTCATATGTATGCGTCCATCACCTGGTAAGTAAAGCCATTTCTGACGTCTCCGATCGACGTATTTTTCGATGTCTCATGTCGATTTTCTTCTTCGACGCATTCTACGTATCATAATACTTTCTCAATATTTAAATAACTCGAATTTTTCATATTTCACACTCGTCGCGTCGATATCCGTTTTATCATAGATATATACGATACCTATAGGTTATATGATGTATGTTTTCTATTGTATGAAATACGTTTTCTATTATAATGCTACTGTCAAATTTTTTGTCAAACTTTATATACGCTACAAAATTGATTTCTTCTTTTCCTTTTCTTTTTTTCTTTTTCTTCTTTTTTTTTTTTTTTTCATTTCTCAAATAAAGAACACGTTTAATAAATATTTCTATATGAAAGAAATAATGACAATAATAATAATAATAATACTAATAAAAGTAACAATATAATAATATAAAAATTGTAGTAATAACTATGATGATTGTAATAACGATAGTAATAGTAGATGTAGTATGTGTGAAAGAAATAATGTTAAACGTAACTATATATTATTACTATAGTATCAGAGATATAAAATATCTCATAAAAATGATCTTTTTAATTTTTCTTTTTCTCATCATAGGAGCGTACAGTATACCGCACGGAGTTTTTATGTTCTTGGGATATAGCGAAAAGGACGAGACCTTGTTAAGGCCACACAACAATCTTACGGTCCTAGACGCCGTTTCGTCTCTCGACAATTTCATGCGAGAGGAAGTCAATAACCAGGTATATTGTGTCGAAACGATACTATCAAGATAATGGTTGAATTAAAAATTTGAATTAACGACGATTAGCATATCGTAATGGATAACGATTTAACATCGTATCCGTTGTGACAAATTTTTCAACTTTTCATCTTTTCATGTATAAGTTATAAGAAAAATTAGATGAAATGACAAAGATTTCGAATTTCTACGAATATAATTTAAGACTTTTTTTTTTTTTTTTTTACTTTCATAAAAGTTCTACTACTTCTACTAATTCCTGGTATCGACTAAGAATTCACGGAAAATTTGTCGTTCGCAAAGAGGAAATTGCTTACGAAAGAAAGTTGGTAATACGAAGAAACGTGAAATGACATTGGAATGTTTTCCCTTATTCCTTTTACAGACCGTATGCACGCTCTTCCTCTACAATGTGACTCGAGAGAACGTGATTGCAGTAGCACGTCTTGGTACGGACAATCCACCTTTAAATAGCAGTCAAGCTCAGAGTTTGCAACACCTCTTGCGAGTCAAGGTAAGCAAATACTAATTCGTATGTATGTATATATTTGAATTTATTTAAATCGTTTAATATGAGCAATGATTTTAATCAAACATTTTCGAAACGTAAATATAGAAACAACAAAAGGGCTACTACATATATCTTGAAATTTTATTAAATTATCTAAAATTATTTAAAGTAAAACTTTTTCACGATATATTGCGTATTCATTCAAATGTTTACTCTCACAAAATATTATAATCATTCGTTAGTGGTTCCCAAACGTCGAGTAGTCGGAAAGAGGAAATAATGTCGAAGTTTTAATTGATTGTACTTGACGAGACGAAGGCTTTAAATGTATAAGAAATCAAATAAAAGGAAATCCACGGAGTTCTCGATTGTGTTTGCTTGGAACGAAGTACGACGAAGTAATATCATGTTGTAATAATGAGCTTAAATTCTAACTTTGCGAAAATTCTAACTCTTTTTTAAAAATCCAACGAATTCAAGTTAAGTTAGTTCTTTCAAAAATCTTTAAACGCTTTACTTTGTGTTATCAGATGTTGTTATCAGCGTTATTATTATCGTTTGTAAAATTATTATTTCGTAACATTAAACTTTATCACAATAGATTTTACGACAAAATATTACCTTTGATAATTATAGCCGATAAACATAAAGCATCGTATATAACACGACAACAAATTGGCTCGAAGTAGTACTAACAGAGAAAATGATGTTCGCTGAAAATAGGATGGATATAATATTAAGATTTACACGATTATCTCTTCATTGACTAAAGCCATTTTACTCTTTGATTAATAATGTGCCTTGTAATAATGATAATAATAATTAAATATATATTGTGTTCCAATAATTATTAGCACCATTTTGCGACATTATTGATGTCAAAGAAAAATTTATTAAATAAAAGTTAAATGGTTTTAAGGGCCATTGAACAATAATGCATGTGCATGTCTAATAATGCTCTTACGAAGAAACTATGATCGTGAATATGCAACCAACAAGAAAAGATATGGCTCATTACAGTTGCATGATCAATAGATATTTTTTGAAAATACCTCGAAAAAACTTCGACGTTATATCCTAATACTTTTTTATTCGGTGTGGCACGAATAATCAATTCACACCAAAAGTATTACAGGATTCCATTAAAAAAAAAAAAAAAAAAAAAAAAAAGCTATAATCTTGAAATCTCAAAAAGAGTGAAAAATACTATTCTAGATTTTCTCGATTGAAAACAGTTCTTTTCATAATATGATGGTTCCCAAGAAACCATTCAACTTTTATTTAAAATAATTTTCTTTAATATCGATAATACCAAAGATATTTAAACTAATATTAATTATTAGGCCTTCCTCTATATTATTTAGAATCGATATAACATTATTATTCATCATTGAACGTAAATAATAATATTGAAGAACGTATTAGCGAAGTGTACAGAAGGTCAAATGTATTTATTACTCGCTCAAAGTCTTATGAATGGAACCAATTAACAACGAATACACTTAATCGTCGATATATTCCATAAGCACGCAATCGAAACTCTCGGGTAACAAGCGAGATGTCGATAATGTAAGCACCAAAATCGAACACGCTTCTAATCTTCGGGATTGAATTTAATCGCGTTCATCATTAGGATTTATTCAATTCCCACGGGAAAAGTGTTGGTAAATATTTGTAAGATTAATCTTCTTGCGCTAATTGCTTTTAAACTGATAAACGTTTTAATTAGTTGATAGTAAAGCGAAAAGCATACATAAAGTGATTAGTTAACAGATCGATAAAGAATACAACGATACAATAAAAATAAAAAGCACATTGTGTTTTATTTTTTATATAGCTACGAGTAAGTTCGATTCGAATGAAACATTAAATTGGCATCGAATCGTTTCGAAAATCTGCAGGTGAAAATCCGTCTAATTCGTTCTCATGCATAAAATGAGGGGAGGAATTGAAACGGCTGGATGACACTCCGTAAGGGGTGGTAGTGACGACAAGGGGGTAGAGGATTGGATAGAGAAAGAGAGGATTTCTACCTGCAACCAAAGCCGATTGACCGGCGCAAAATGTCGCGCATTTAAAGTTCCGTTCACATCGAACCGTACGCGATATGTCGGCCGATTGCATCCCCATATAAACGTGTTATACTAGGTGGGCCAAATAAAATGTTACTTTAAAATTTATCTTGGAAATATTTGTTTTCCTTTTAATATCTATGGGATGTTTAGAATGGTTTGAAATTATCTGCAATATTGAAAATAGCTGCAATCGTTAATGTATGAAAATTTATAAATATAAATTTAAAAAAATGGAAGAAAATTTTTTAATAACTATATTAAATATTTTAAATTTAGAAAAGAAAACAAAAATGCTCGTCATCGCCTGATCTAATGTAATTTTTATTTACAATATTTATTTTCTGTTTTTAAGAACGATCTATTTTAAATGCCTCACCCTGTATAACAAGAACGAAGTAGAAGAGAGGAAAAGCAGAAAAGCAAAAGTATCGAAAGTTTCGAACGAGTTACGTGAGCTTCCAATGCGATTTCCAATTTGCGATTAAACGTCGGCCGATTTGCAATTTGATGGAGGCTTCGCGGATTTGAATGGACACCGTGGATGCTTGCTATTTCATTGGACGTACACACTTTTTCCGACTTTGTTTCTCTCACATTTTCTCCCCATTTACGAATTTTACGTTAATTCTGACTAAAAATCGGACTCGGCATATTGTCGGGTGTCGAATTTTAATCGGCGCTACATGTAAATTGTACGGATGAATGTACATACGTCATATATGTTTTCATTTATATATTGCAGCTAAAAATTTTGTTATATTATTTTCTCTCGAAGAAGCACACAACAACAACAACAACAACAAAAATTCTTCCAATCTTGTTATTCTCAAAAGATGAAGGTATTCGTAAAATAAAAGTAGTATTGGCTTCGTTTGATAGAAAACAATTTTTTCTCAATTTTTCCAGATAGATGAGTTTGTTAAAATTCGTAAATTAAATGTTCAAGAAGCTCACGTGAAAGGTATTAACGATCAATTTAAAATACAAGCCGCAAATAGGCCGAGGGTAAATTTGAACTGTCAACAAAAAAATTGATTTCTTGATCATCCGGATAGATCAGTACGTGCTTTGAAAGGCAAAAGACTATTTCCTTTTACGTTCGTAATTAGATAACTAATCGATTTTAGATTATCTTTATAAATTCTCAGTAATCGTCAAAGAGAAATGCTTTGATTATGTTAATCGACATTGACATTCTTTATGCGATATGAGAATAAATACTAAAGACAAAAAAAAAGAAAAGCTAAAGCATGATTAATATTTGTGGTTTATGTCTCTTGAAAATCCGGCATTACAGATAAAAATTTTGTCGACTTAATTTCTTCTTTAATAGAAGATAATCGAATAGATGAAATTAATCGACTTCTTACTTAATTGAATATTAGCAATATAATTATAGGTATAATAATTTCACTATCAGCTATATTAAAAGAAGAGAGAGAGAGAGAGAGAGAGAGAGAGAGTGAGAGACAATCTTTCAAAGACTTTCGAGGAAAGCTCGCCACCACACCAATCATCGGCTGACGGAAAATGGTCTGCGCTCGGTCTACGAAATGCTTTTACTAGCATCGATGGCAACTTTCCAGCGCTTTACCAGTCGTCGACGAACCATGAATTACATTGCCAGGCGGAGCTACTTTTCAAAAATAATGCACAACTTTCTTTGAACAAACATACAATCAAAATTCACGTATTTAGTGTTATCAAGGAAAATTAATAATCGTAAATATTAAAACGTAAATATAAAACGTAAATATTAATATAAAAATAAGAAAGAATTAATTGAAATGAAAGGATATAATCAATCATCTGTTTATTTTAATACAATTTATTAATTAAAATTTAAAAATATTTACATATAATATTTCACATGAACGAACGGATAATTATAAATAATTTTAAAGAGTAGTCTTTTATCTTCGTTGTATAAATTAACCAAAGAATAAATTTTAATGAACGGATAATCATTGTAATAACGATTTTGATAATCGGCAAATCGATAAAATTAATCGTTCGAGTAAAGAGAACGAAAGGAAATGAGAAATTTCGTCGAAGGACAAACTTGTTCCGAGATCAGGGAAGTTAGCAAGGAATAAGCGAAATCCAAGAGAAAGGACTCCTCGAATTAGCACGTGTCGTCGATCAACGTCGCCGATCTCTACTATGAACTGAATTCGGCATATGTATCCGCCTACTTCGCCTAGATAGAGCCGAATGAGTTTCTAATAAAGCAATTAAGCGATAGACCAAAGTTATGGCACATAACTGGGGTGTGTAGCGCACAGAGATAGACTCTTAGTCGTAAAGCACGTTTTCCGACCTTCTGTAAATCGATTTTCGATCTTGAAATGTATGAAGCGCTTAGTTAATTCGAAGACACGATATATTTTCTAAACGATTGATTCTTCTTTATCGTTTCATTTATATCGTTAATAACGTGATAAACATAGAACAACAATTTATTCGATGTCAAGATGAATTATTATATCAGACAAAAAGATAAAAGGGTATATCTCGTGTGATAGCCCAGAGGCAGCAGTTTCATCCTTCGATAATGAATTTAGAAGAATCCACGATGTTATTCGACGTAGGATTTGGTTCAGTATATAGATAGAGAAAGAAAGAAAAAGAGAGAGAGAGAGAGAGAGAGAGAGAGAAAGAGAGATATAGAGAGGGGAAAAAACTATTGGCAATTTCGACGAAAATAGGATCACATTTTTCTAAGCCTCACGCGAAAGGATTTTAAGGAATTAAATTATTTGTCTTTCTCTTTGATGTGAAGATACGAGAACAGAGGGGAACATCTTAAGGATGAGTTTTTCTTTAGGTAGAAGAGGGATAGAATAGACGTGCTGTCTATCGGGGTGATAACGGTCATCCCGTGGCCAATGACTCCACGCAATTCCCTAAACTCACATATCTCTACTA